ATTTCTTCAAGGGGCAAACCTGGACAATATCAAATCATATATAAAGCATTGCTTAGCCGGTTCCAGCTCATAATATCATATTTTCATTCTTGAGCGACTTTCTCTATTCTCTCTCAAATCGTCATTCTCTCTCAAATAAGGAGTTTCATACTTTCTCTTTCAGAAAAGATCTATCTTAGATCTTCATCAAAATAGAGAGTTAGTTTTTCATATTCTTGTTGTTATATTCTGTACTTAGAGAGATTAGATCTTTACTTTCATATTGTAAATCATTTATGTTAATATTTCTGTTTTTCAAAGATATTTTCAATAAATCGCTTGAATATGTTAGTTTTATCAGGATATCCTAATAAACGATGAAACATATAAAAAATGAAACGTTTTTGAAAATTGAATGAAACATTTTGAAAATTGAATGAAACATTTTGAAAACTAAATATTTTATTTTCGTAACTGAAACTTTTTTCATGCATAAAGCGTTTCGAAATATTAATAAATTAAATTCATCACTGAAATTGTGCTCATGGTCACTATTGAACATGACATTCATTTCATTACTCAAACTACATATATTTGGTCAATGAAATGAAATCAAATTTCATATTATGCTCCTTTTACAATTCATATTTTACGAGTATAATTTAATAAAATAATAAAAACTATTAATGTTAATAATTTTATATTAAAAATAATTGAGTTACCACCTTCTATATTAAGGATTTCTATATACGTTTCCATAATTAAGAATAATAATTACCTTACATTATTAACCAATATACAATCAAATGAACATTATACCCTTACTTATTAAAATTAAAGAAAAAAATCAGAAATTTTTTATTGGTCAAAAGTGATTTGCATAGTTTCACGAATCAGACGATTTGTAATCTAACCCGCTTTTATATATGTATATATCTATATATATGTAGGTGGAGGTTCAAACGAGAACCCCTGTAATTTATGAGAACGCGAGAACAACCCAATAACCTCAAACTTTTTTAATTAATAAATTAACTTTTATTATATATAAATAATTTAATAAGGACAATAATGTAATTAAGTAATTTTTATAATTTTTATTTTATTTTAATTAACCATAATTATCTTTTCACGTTCCACGTTTTACTCTTGATAGTTATCT